CTGAGTTAGTTGTAGGGATGGAGCAACATAGATACCTAATGTAAATAATAACTTCCTAAGATATACTCGTGCCCATACTGGGTGCGGTGGTGGTGGTGGTAACTTTGGAAAGACCAGACCTTGTTCTCATGACCCAATTTGACCTGGCTTGGGAAACTTGTATGCAGCCAATTTGGAATTTGAGTGCTTCACCCTGTGAGCAGCAACCACGTCCATCTGTTTCATCATGTAAAGAACAAACACTTTGATGATGGCTAAATGTATATCACAATACAGCAGTTACTCTGAATGAATGGTCTGAATGAGAGGTTTACACAGACACGCTAAAGAGGAAGCTTCTCAAAACACCATTACAGCCAGACACTTAGGATACAAATGATGTACACAATATGGTCATATAACTGCACATCACACATACATGATGCAGAGATGGCTATGGAAAATACTCACTTTTTCACTTGATTCTGCTTCCTTTTGGCTTCTGCACCCCTTTGGTGCATAACAGGGAAGTAGGTATTTGTGTTTAGTGGAAGAAATTACACTGACTAACAGACACAAGCATTTTACTCATAAATTTATCATAGACTATTGCTGAGTAGACTGACAGACAACCACTACAAATGGTGCATTAAACATTTAACGAACCCAGGCTGAGCTCCCAGCCCTGTTGAAGCCAATGAAAGTTTTGCACTTTTTTTTTTTGCAAGGGTGGGGGGGTTGAGTAAAGGGGGCAGCGTTTTCTGATGGTTTCTAATTCTTGGTTAATCACTTAGTAGAAAAATAGAAACGATGCCTTAAAGAGAGCATCCTTTTCCTTTGTGTTGTTACTTCATAGACATTAGAGTTCACCACAAGCAAAATATGGTGTTCAACAGGGGCTGAGGAGACTGCCAGACCTGGTTTCTAAAGTAGATGATGATATTTCTATAACGTGTGTGTATTAGTGCAGCACATCTGTGATGCACTCCGAGAGAAGTATGTGCTGGCCTTGTGTGCGTCTCAAATACTTTCAAAAAGTACAGTAGCTGTTACCCTAAAATGGGAAAGGAATAAAAGAGGATTGTGGATTTTGTTGAAGCCTCTCATAAAAGAATAACTATGTGCTGAGATTACTTCCATTAAACCTCCTGTTGAGTAGGAATAAATATTAACAGTAAAACAAATGCACTTGTTTGGGGAACAAATTCATGCATGTGAGTGACAGGAGGGAATAAAATCCGCTCTTGTAGCGAGACAGAAGCCCTGTGTGTTATGGTAATATTCAGTCACTGTCTTCAATAAGCTAGTGAAGCCACCTAAGGCTCGATGGGCACTCCAAGGTGCCAGGTTTAGTGTGATGACGTTGCATCCTTCCTTCAGCTAAGTGGTAGAAATGAAAGCAATGGGCTCTGCGAAATAACATATTCTGGCTTGGACCAGGATTAGAATCCCAGTCAGAGCGTAGGGATGGGATCTGAGATATTGAAAATGATACTACTGTGAAGTGGTGGTTTCTTATTTTATATATGCATTGAATATGAATATTTTATATATACATTGCAAATGAGTATTCATGGCATGAATACTGATGGCATGAATTAGAGTTGGTGTCTTCAATCAGTTTTAGATAACTTTCTGGTAACTGACATATACTGTACTTTCTACAACACCCTTTATTTGGGGAAAAATGCATTTTTCTTTAAGTTCTCATGTCAATAACATCTAAAACCCCAAGTGATTTGCATTAATTACCCCACACTGTTTTTCCCCATGTCATTGAGGAACCATGATGACACTGGTGTGAGAACCTCTAGCAGACGGGTTCAACCAGCATCACTGCAGCTGACATTGGGCCGAGGGGAAACTGAGGAGCAGGGCAGGTTCCCCTCGGGCTGCGTGTGCCGTGGTTCGTGGGGGGCTTTGGCATCTCCCGCGTGGCTGGTGACTCGCGCTGTGTCCCCGGCCTCCTCAGAGCCCCGCGCTCCGCCCACCTGTGATGTCATAGTAAGGAGGGGCTTTTCCTCTGCAGACTCCTCCCTCGGAATCTCCTTCATCACCATGGCAACAGCCTTATCTGCCGCCCTAGTTTTTTCAGCGAAATCAACAATGGCGCGTCAGCAGTGAGCCTGGCAACAACCGCTTCCCAAAAACACACCCCAGAACCATCCAGCCGTTAAACCCACGGCACTTATGGCTGCAAGCAAAGCTTGGTTGAAAGTAGAATACGCAAACACTGTTTAAAAATAATTATTTATCTGTGAACCCGATAGCTTACAACGTGGTTGGGATCTAGCCATAGTCTCCTGACTTGTTGGAGTTGCCCCAGTGAAATCAATAGGAACATGGCAGTGCCTTGCTGGGGCGAGGCTGGCTGGAAATACTCCAGCGTGAACAGAAGGATTTGGACCTTCTGCATGATGGGATCTCCATGGGAGCAAGGATTTGCTCCTTGATTTAAATTTTAGTTACCCAAATCACAGAATGTCAGGGACTGGAAGGGACCTCGAAAGATCATCTAGTCCAATCCCCCTGCCGGATGTTTATATTTGAAATATCTGGGGTTTTTTCACTTAAAAATATCATCAAACTGATTTTGCAAATAAAGCACAGTTCCCTGTAGTTCACTGAGGCAAACTCTCCCTGGAATTGAACGTATAACCTGCAGGGCAGGGCCCGCATTTTTTTATAGCTCTAGTCGGATTTTTAAAAATTTACATGGTATAAACAGTCTGGTTTTCACTAACAGAATATATGGAGCCAAATTCTGCCATCACAGGCATTGCTACAGCTCTCCCCAAAATGGTCCTTGTTGTTAAACTTACTGTAAGGATTTATTTTAAACTTCACTTTAAAAAAAATTCACTTAATATATTGTAAATATTCAAGAAAAAGTTAAAATATTTCAACATTATTTCATATTTTCGCCAAACAAAAAATGCACTAACATTATGTGCAATATTATCTTTGAAGCCATATTCTTTATTTAAAAAGGGTATTTATCTTGAATTCACATGGATTTCTGTATTTTGATCTCTTATACTTTTGCAAGTGACAGAGCAAGTCTGTGTGTACACATAAAGCATAGCAGCAGAGCTGTGTTGTGCTGGTGACCCTGGACGTGTCCTTACTGTTACACTTATAAAGCTCTCATTTATTTCTGTGGAAGTTTTAGCTGTGCAAAGACTGCAGGATCTGGCTCCATAAAAGCAGCATTTTACACTAGACTTAAATATATTTAAATACTTAAAAGTCTATTAACAGAAGGGGTTCTTTACTACCACATCATATACTAGAATTACTTTCACTAGCATTCTGTGTCCAATAAAAAAAACCCCCAACACTATTGCTTACACTGAACTACAGGTTGTTTCAGAAACACTTCATCAGTTGCAGGTAAAAACATTGCATTCCGTTGCAGTTATTGAACAGATTTTATTAATTGTCAGGTCAATCTTAGGTTAGCTTGCTTGTGCAACACATCACAGTTACCCTACAGGGAGTTCTTTGCATGCTGCAAAGAAGTCTCAGAGCAGAAGTGTCACAGATGATAAGCATGCTGGATTTGTGATGCCTTTGATATCTAAAGAATTGCAAAGTCATCGTAAAATTAAATATATTTAATTCAATGAGAGTTACCTCTGGTTGATAAGCATATGGAAGGTTCTTGGCCAGTTACATATTTACTCTGTTCGTGATTCATATGACATATTCCAGATCTATGAAGCTTGTTTCTAGTATGACGCGTGGAGCTATTGTTAGCTAGCACTAATAACATGCTATTTGATCTTTAGAAAATGTACTCCTTTTGTGCTGAGTGCTAGAACAAAATAGTTTACCAGCTAGAAAGGATGCATTGTAAAGCATGCAGTGCTTTTTATTTCTTGCAGAGTAAAAACCCACCAAAGCAAAGGTCAGGTCACTTTTTTGAAGACAGAGCCACTTTTTCTTCAAGGTTTCACCTACTGCCTGGAAAGAGTCATGATACTCGTATTAGTGCCTGCTGTTAACCTTTCATAAACAAAACTCTGCAAAACCCTGGGAGTGGGTGGTACCATATATAAAATCTGTCTCATCATTTTAAAGTGGCTATAGTACAATGTAGAATAATAACCTGGTGCATACCTCTGTGCTATCTTTTATGAGCAGACTCCATCTATTTGCTAGTCAAAGCAAGTGTTTTGATACTAATTTTTTTTTATTAGGTCTTTCTTTTAGCTTTCCTAAAAGACTTCATCTAAGTCAGGTTGGTTTATTTCTGGCTACTCAGCCTATGGTATGAAAATAACTTTTCTGAAACTAGAAGTTAGTAGGCAATTTCCTGGACAACAAGGAGAAAGGCATTGCAGTGAAATAGCTTAAGTTCTCAGATTCTGGTGGAGATACACGGGTGACCAATTCATTGGAAAATCCAGTTTTTTATTCTGGTAACTAGAAATGGGGTTTTTTGTCCAATATAAGGTATGTAAGCTTGAAAATGTTGGTCTCTTTATTCACTATAGTGAGTATATATTCAGTCCTTGCCTATGGAACAATAGGCAGAAGAATTGGAGAGGAATGAAAACACTTTTTCTATGACCAGGACAGCCTCTTTCCATTGTGAACTGCAGCTGAAATGATAATCTCTAGCACATTTATGACAATAACCATTGAAGGATTTGGGCTTGCTGTGTGTATTTATCTGTTACAGTAGCTTATTACTCAAACCATGTAGTTCTGTAACAGCTAATTTTGCAGTTGCAAGGTCTTAAAAATGAACAGTTTGCTGATAGGTGGATTTGGAAGGTAAGTTATTTTCTCACGTAAACAACAGTTTAATAATTCAGTAAATAAATTTCATTGTTGCCTATTTGTCTGCAGCATACAGATGGAAACAATTGTGATGCAGAGCATGACAACCTATGTGCAAATCAAGACAAACACAAATCAGTGAAAGAAAAATATATTATTTGTTTTAATGGAATACACTGCTTAAGAAAAACTGAGAAACATGCTGGTACTTCAGTATTTGATACACAAAATGGAATAGTTCCTTTAGGTGAAGTCTCCAGAGCAAAATAAGGAGTACAATTCAGAGTATTCCCATAATGCTAAATATTTATAATAGAATTAGATTCAAAACTTAATAATAATTTCTCTAGGTTTGTCCTTTGGGATCAGATAATAGATAGTAATAAACATTTCCAAAGGAATATGCTGATTTGGCAGGATTTTGTAAGGAAATACTCTTATTTTTTTGCAGCTGGTGTTTCTGAATAGTTCCAAATTAATTTTTGTAGAAGTCACATTATTTAGATGGGGTACCTAGTAATGAGCATTTAATTAAGCTACTTTAAGAGCATATTAATGTACACTTCTAGGACAGCATACAGTTTTGTTTGTTTTTAAAATCAGTGGTGCATATCAGTTTAATCATGCTTATATACAATAAAACTTTTTTTCTTTAAGTAGATCACCTTCAAGTCATCGTGGGCAGACCAGGTAGAATGAATGTATGGTCATACTCGAAACATTACTGTTTGATGAAACTTTATATAATTGTGTAATTTTTTTTCTTCAGTTGTTTGCAAATTTGTTCTTGTGTACAAAAAGCCAATGGCCAGTACCTTGTAAATATTTAACATTTGGACAACAGTATTTAAACTATAATGGCTAATTACAGAAATTCTTTGTCATCTTGTATGGAACAAAAGGATTTTATCTAAATCCATAACATAATTAGAAATTTTCTCCCTTTTTTTTTAATAGCTTTAATAGATTGGGGAGGGGTTTAATAAAGCAAACTTTATGAAAGATGCATTAGTGGTAACTTTTAGTAGCTGTAGTCTTTCTATGTTAGGAGAAAGAACAGATAGAGCTACTGTACATATTGCACTTGGGCTGCTTGGCTGCTGTCCAGATCCCCAGGCAGCTGATATATTAGACTTGCAGTACCAATTAAGCAGCCTATTCAAAATGTCTTTATGCACCACAAATCTTTGAGTTTTGTACAATTTAAAAATAAAAACGAAGGGTCAAACTTGGCTTTACTGTTTAAAATTATGCAGTGCTAACATTTTTACCTCTCAAAGGGAGCACACAGACCTATAAAATGGTACCATGAGAGTTCTAGTGTCCACTATGATTGTGAGCTCTTGATTTCACACAGGATCTGTGTTTATTACTTTGTATTTTTCCCTTCTCAGGCTTCTCTGTTCATGTTTTCTCCATATGTCTTTCTTTTCATCATCTATGCTTTTCTACTGTTTTCTAGTGGTGCTGTATCTTGCATCTTGGATATCATTAAAAATAACGAGAAACCATATGGTGAGACGGTTTTATGAACCAACACAAGATGGGATTCTGTTTCATCAAAGATCTTGATAGTTTTTTGTTACAAGCTTAAGGAAGTGAGAGATATACCTAAGGTATCAATGGGAACAGAATTCCTTTAGGCAGTGCTCAGTTGACTGTGGTGTGGAGACATGTGAAGAAGCTCTGTGTCCTGAACTGGAAGCAGTATTGTCAAGGCAGACCAGCTTTCAGAACCCGAGCTAGTATTTCCATATTTTACATGCATTCTTTGGAACTTCTTATCAAGCTTCCTGTTAGTGATGGTCTAACCTCTCTTGACTAATGACCTTTAGTATTTTCTTCTTATGAGATTATGACAAAATACAGATAGTGTGGGCTACAGAGAAGGAATCGGGTATAGGCAGCCCTGCCTAAGAAATCATCTAAAGTAAAGCAGCTAAATCCATATTGTCTGAGTTCAATGTGTACTACTCATCTTTCATTCCTTTCTTTTTTCATTCTTATGAAGATGGATAAGAGATTTCAGAATCAATATGGGAAGACTTTTCCTTTACTGCCTACAAGAAGATTGGCAAAGAAAGAGATAATAGCTGATAAAAGGTAATCGGCACAAGTGTTCACGTTTACCTTGATTGGGTTGTGTCTTATGTCCATTTAAATGTCAATACTGTGGTTAATGCTTCTCAAACTGGAATGCAATTTTTCACTGAAATGGCATTGTTAGGTTTTCTGTTTATTGACCATCAGTAACTGTTGCATTACACGTGCTCCCTTTACGAGTTTTCTCATTCTGATGCTTATAGATTCATTCTGAAAGCCAAGTGGGAGTGCTTCCAAAGCATCTCTGGTGAAACCTCTGCAAGACCCATTTTGCTCTCAAGAACTTATGCAAAGTTATTGTACTTAATGGATCTGAACACTTATTATGATGACAAATTAATAAACAATCTGTCAAATCTAACTCATTCTCTAGAAACTGGTATGATTTCTGCAGGCTAGTAGGATGTTGACCTAACTGTAAATAGTAAATCCAGCCTGAAATATAGAGCAAGGTTGGCAAGAAGAGCAAGGTCTGGGACAGAACTAACTACTTAAAGGTAGTTTAAGATTCTGGTCCTTTTATGAATGAGTTATATAATACAGCTGCTTGCAGTAGTAGGCTTGGGCAAGCATTTTGCTATTTGACTTCAAAACTTTCAGGGAATAGCTGTAGAATTTCTTTCATCTCTGCTTAGTCTGAGTCAAGGAACATTGTGAAATCATTGGATTTAGCGACTGTCAATTTCAAATTTGTCTGGTAGTCTTCAGCAGAGAATTGATACTAAAATATTTCTCTCTCTCTCAGTTTGGGTTCGTTTTATGTTGACTTCAATATCATGAGCCCTAATCGTAACATACGCATAATAACAGCAGAAATAGTTTACTACTACAGTAATGCATGTACTGAATTAGAATAAAGCATTCTTCTAGTACTAGTTCCAGTGAAATTCAAGGAGCTCACATCACTTTTGAAGGAAACACATTAGTGACTAAGGTACCTTCCATTGTTTGAATGTGTGTTCACGTCACATGTGATGTATAAACAATGTATTTTACTTATTCTTTTCCTCCCAGCACTTAACGTATGGTAGGGGTTCCTCACCTCTGAAAGCTGCTACACAATTTTTAATGGTTTTGTTTCATGAAATATTTGGAGAACTCAGACTCACAGTCTGCAGCAAAGTAGTGAGATTAAAGGCCAACTTGCTACTTTGATACACATAATATTACTGATGAAACAAGTTCTGGTATGACTTCCAGTTTTGTGCCCTTCTTTGCACGTTATCTTTAGTGGAGTTTCCCAAGATGAAGTTCATGTTGCATGAAGGGCTACAGCAGGGGCAGACACTAAGGATATAGTCAGGAGCACAGAGAGCTCCTGAAACAGATGTCTGTCAGACAGGATCTGCCATGATTTATGTGTATGTGTAATGTAGATCTTGCTTTCGTGGCACAGGAGTGAAGATAATTTAATTCCAATGGCATTTATTCACATATATGAACAGTTGGGCATTACATTTTATCTGATGTTTTCAAATGATAATTTAAATTCCACTTCCTAATAAAGAACCCATAATGCCTGAGTTATGTGCCTGTGCTGGAACTGTGGTAGTTTGTCAAAAATTCACATCAGTGAGAAAGTAGTGAAATCTGTGCCTTGAAGCATTTTGTGCATGTACATTCTGCTTAATAATTAGCAATGTTTCAGCATATAAGAAACTGGGTGGGGGATAACTTTTAATAATTTTCCATGTGCTTGTCTTCAGATGGGAGATGAGAAGGCACTCTAGCAAATTTTCCTTATGTTCCTCTGCTGGTTCACAAACCCAGGTGTTTCAGCTGACAGAGGTTGGTCAGTGGACCATAAATACTGAATGGATGAATTTTTGATACATCCATAAGAACTCTTATCAGCATCCAGAAGCAGACCCTCTTCCACACACTCTTAATACGCCTTAAAAAATACTTAAAAGACAAATGTAGACATGAAGCCTTGGCCTGTCATTTGCATTCCCTCTCCTCCTTTTAGGTAAGTTTAGTTCATTTTCTGAGTAATTTGAGGGCTAGAAGTATAATAATCACTAATAATTATGGAGAATTTTGACTTAAAACAGACAGTAAAGGTTTCAGCA